GGTTTTATGAGTGAAACTTCAATTGTTATTGGCTCTTTGTTTGTTTGATTATATGTATATTAGGGTGGTTCTTAAAAATCAAATGAAGTGTGTAGAGGGTTATATTCATCCCTAAGTTAGGGGAACTAAATCACAGCTTCTCATAAAAATATCAGAATCGGCGTAAAATTGTAGGTCCCTCCAAAAACAAACGGAGAAGAAGTTCGGCCAAACTCTAAGATATGTGTAAGCGCGATTCTATTTTTATTATTAGTTAAATCTCAACGTCTTATTGCTGGTTTCCCGGACATAGTAATATCGAAAAAAAACGAAGGTGCTGTGAAGATTACCACCGATGGCTCTGAGGAGCTAATAAATAAAGTAGGCAGCTCTATACAACCACCGTTTAGTGATCCGATCAATTAAAAAAAACCCAATAGAGCTGCGGTGCAAGCAAGTGGTTCTCTTCTTTGTAAAGGAACCCCGGTTAAACGAATATTGCTAATCTTGGTACTTGCTCACAACAGGTACTTACCATTGACAGATATGTATATATGTAGATACATGTCTACTAATGGCGGTATGGAGCCCTACATATGTAAATGTCCTCATGGCCTACTTAGTGAACGAGTATATAAGAAAATTAAGTATCTTTGAGCGCCAATAACGTCTACTTAGGAAATCTGATCAATAACCACTTTTTGTAGAAAAAGCTGATCAGATCTGTAATATGTTAACTCAAGGTCCTAAATGGATATTTGTTTCAGCAATGAGTTCTTCATTTGACTCAAATCTCTTAGCAACGACCCATACCTTAAGGTTTGAAAACAGAAAATAAATAGTCGGAAGTAGCTGAATCCCGATTATGCTGGTCGAAATTAAGAGCATGAAAAAGTACCCCACTTCCGTTTAAAATAAGCTTTTTGGCAGGAAGCTGTCCACATGTCTAGTTTTAAAAATAAGTTGAAATAAATTAACCCTCCTTAAGAAGTACAGCAACTCTCCTAAAATAATTTTAGATAACATTATGCTGGCAGCCAATGTTATGCAGACTATCCTTTTCTCCTCTTAAATGCCTACGTGCGCCTTAACACGGCACGTGTATGGATAAACGCACCAAACAGCAAACGCTGCATAATAAATAGATAAATGCAGCGTGGATGCGATCAGGCAGTACATGTATGGTGAGGCACACATGACGCCCAGAGTATGCTACCGAATGTGGCAATAAAACAAAGCTGCTATAGTCAAAATGAAAGGCAATACCAAACAAAACGCAGGCGAATAACACCAAAGGTCACAAAATTAAAGACAAAAGAGAAGAAACTAGTAAACAACAAAATAAAGCGCAATGGTGGAATCGTGAAGACGCAAAGAAGTGACTGCAATGAGAGTATGAGTATTCCCAAAAACACAGCAGTCTCTTTGGACGAATGCATTGGTAAAATGTGTGGTCATAAAAATTGACTTCAACTTTGACATAACAGTAATTTAAAACCTGACTTCGAGCACGCTCAATTTATCGGTTGCACAAGTATCTTTATTTATGAAAGATACAGAAGAAGATGACAAAGAGGAATAAGAAAAACACCAGCGCCATGGGTGAGACGAGCTGGAAGAAACAGAAAAGCAAAGTAAGAAAATGGTAATGGTATGTAACTTGAGTTGGCTAATACGTTTACAAGCATAGAAAACCGGCTTTCTTTCTTCTGCCAACGTAGTTGGTTTCTACGTAATGATAAAATGAATGCGCTGCGCTGATTTAAGCCATAAAACAGAAAAAAATGTCTTTAATCACAAATGAAAAGAATGGGCAAGTGAACCAATGAATCTTCTGGAGTTTTTCACTTTGAGAAAATGTTTGGCTTTTTGTTTAGGGCCTTAACCGTATAGTGCCCAAAATATAGTATCCATAAGTGATGGTAAGAGGATTTTGCTCCACCTGATCAAATTTTTTTTACACAGTGGGTCGTAGTTGACACTTTTTTGTCATAAATTCAAATAAATATGTAAAAACAGAATTTTAGGTATAAATTGACTTCAAACATAATTATTATCTTCAAGGACCTATAGTCGAACTTTGTGAAAATTTTTTTCATAGAATGTTTCAACCCCCTAAATCCTACTGGAGCTCGTCTTTTTGAGACCTATTTTAAGGAGTGATTATATTTGTTCAATAAAAATGGGAATTAGCGGGTTAAAATGTTGTGCCGTAATATTAGCCGTGACTCAACAACACAATTCATTGAGATTGAAAGCCGCTGGTCTGGTCCAGAAAGTCTGAAGCTGGTTGCCTCATGAACTCAAACCAAGAGATAACGAACGGCGTGTCACAGTTTCCCAAAAAGGCGTATGTAAGTATGGCTAAGCCAGGCCATGGACGCCAAAATCAAATATTCATGGCATCAAAGGGAATTTTGTATCATGAGCTTCTGAAAAATGGTCAAACGATCGACGCGGCTCTCCACAGACAACCTCTGTTGCCATCGAGAAACGCCCGGAATGGGCAACCAGACACGAGTCATTGATCTTCCACCATGACAACGCTCGGTCGCATGTCTCACAAGTGTTCAAAACTTATATCGATGTTACTGGATGGCGAGTCCTAATCCACTCATCTTATAGCCAAGACTTTGCGCCATTCCACTATCCGGCCGACGCAGAACGCCCTGAAGGTATCAATAACTGGTTTGACACTTTCTTGGTCTCTATAGACGAAAAGTTTTATTGGCGCCCAATCTATGCATATTAAGAAAAGTTGGGAAAAATGCATAGCAATACTTTCATTAAAAAGTTTCAAAGTTATTTAAAATTTAATTGTATACCTAATATATAAATCTAGTTCTTTTCTTCAGAAACCTATGTATAATGAAATTGGGTAGAGGAAAATTTTACTCAAATCGCCGAAGAAGCAAAAATTATTTGATTAAAGGCAGTAATAAAATAAAGGCAAGTAAGTTTAGCGGCTTACTGCTGCCCCTAAATAGGCGCGTCAAGCGAAAACAACTGCCAAAAATCCTCACACCTGTGGAGCGTCCCAGAATAACGCGGCGCTAGTGCCAAGCAAATGGAATTTTCTTTTTTAACAGGGCGTTACGTGTTGAAGTTGGATACAGAAGACGGAAAGAAAGAGAAAGAACAAAAAAGTGAAAGAGGAAACGAGAATAAAAACGAGAGGAAATGAGAAAACGTCAAAAATTACGGCGCGTTGCTGACACCCGTTGACAATGAAAAACGCAACGCTTGGCGCTCCAATTTAGGGACGACAGTTAGGGTCGTTTTCTAGATAACCGATGTTTTGACTGCCTGTAAAATTTGTTGCTCGGCCGTCAATTTTTAGTAGGCAGTCGAGAAAACTGCCTTTAATGGAACTTTTGAAATATAGGGTGATTCAATAAGACTACAGGTGTTCGCAGGAAGGGCCATTGTTTCATGCGCTGTGTTACAAGTTATTGTTGAAACCATATATTGTCCGAGCTGATGTTAAAAAATATGTTTAAAATGTGCTCCATCGGTCATGATAACTTTTGTTTTTTGGAAAAATCGGCATCAACGCTTGGATGCCTTTAATGCGTTGTTCAACTGAGTATCGCTCCATGAATAAGTTTTCCAAAGCCTGTAGCACCAAATGTCTGAAAGAAAATAAAATCCAACGGTAACATATCACAAATAATATCTGTCAAAGATCTGCAACACCCTTCTATCACTACTTATGGAAGTTTATTTAGCTCTAAAATTTCCTACTCATCGTATACATATATATGTATGTATGAAGAACATTTGAATCCTTCAACTGCCGTTTTTACTGAACTGGCATAAACGTTCAAAATAAGAGCCGAAAGGAAACTGTTATGAAAAAAATTTTCGCTAAATTCTGCTATATTTATTTCTCAGAAGACAAGAGTTATGTTTGTCAATTTATACATGTATGCATGTATGTTTGTCAAATTCCTTGCAACCAAATTGAATTTATCATCAAAATCGGGAAGATTTAGCCCACTGTTGGAGCGAAATCCTATTAGGTTTTGACTATGACATATGGATACTTTTAGTTGCTATGCACACTATTCGGTTGAGCCCTAAAATAGCTGTTCTGCAGTGTTTTTTTTATTATTTTTAAATATATTTTTTTTCATTGCATTTAATTCTATTTCATTTTACTTTATTTCATTATACTTGTATCGTATTGAGTAAGCCTTCAAATATTACTCATGGAGTGAGTTATTTAGTGAGCAACTTTGTATGCTCATTCACTGCGTTGAGCGCATTTACATACCTCAGAGCGGCTTAAAATGCTGCGAGTATTTTGGGGTAAATTTTCGTATTTTTCCAAATCTCTAGAACGACAGATGTTTGGTATACTTGACTCTAGCTCTATACATGCATATGTATTATATGTATGTATGTATATGCATGTGTGTGTGGTTGGCTGTGTGAGACCGCATGATGTCTCAGCTGTTTCCACCCTCCATTATGTATTTGATGGCGGCGGCGGCGGTGGAAACGGCGGCCATTGAGAAGCTTCTAGCGTTACTAGACGGTTATTTAATACACATATTTTGAGCGACTTTAAACTCATGCATGCAAACACTCACATGCATACACGCAAGCAAATACACCCTTATTAGAGTACAAACATTGTTGCGCGCCATTTAAAGTACATACATACAACGTATTGCAGATAGTACTCGCGCGCTTAACTAAATACAAAACAGGAATAAAAAAAAATATGTTTTAGTAAAACAACAACAACAAGGTATGTATGTATGTATTCATAAGTATGTATGTAGTATAAATTTTCGAGTTTTACGTATCAACTACTCTTCGTCTGCTCGCTTATACAGATGTATGTATGTATGTATTTATGAATGTATGTATTAGTATAATATGTTGTATTCTCAGCGCTGCATTTTCTGCTGATTTTGTTGTATTTGTTGTTACCAGCGGTTTTTATAGTACGTTTTGTGTTGTTTCTCGTCTCGTTTCGAGCTTCTTCAACGACAGCCACTGTACAAGCAAATTAGTGTAGTATTTGTGTTGCACAGTACTCAGAGCTATACGGCACAAGACGGCGCGTGAATATACAGTGTCGAGTCAGCGTATGAAATAAGCCCACCGCAGCAGTCGTCAGGCTAGCTAGCGAGACACTAGCACGAACAGAGAACGATTACGATAATTTTTTTTTAGAATTTCCATAATAAAATTATATATATTTTAAGAGATTTTTTTGTACAACGAATTTAACAAAACGCAGAAAAAATATCAGTGCTCGAAAAAATATATTAAAATTATTAAAAAAAAAATAAATTGAGTGCGCTTTACGTCGTAAAATGCTGCCGTGGATTCTCTTGATATGTATTACGGCAATTAAGTGAACAAAAACTATTGAAAACGTACAAGCATAGTTACAGTGGTGCGCTGTTGTTTTATGGTTCTAAATAAGCAGCTTGAAAGTGTGAAAAATATCACCGAGCAGCTGTTGTGCTTCCTTGAAAATCGCCGCAGCGAAAGACTTTTCCGCCTTTTTTCGCACGCCGAATGTTCGAAGAACGCGCGCAACATAATCCTTATCAGCCGACAACTTCTCAACCATCTTAACGTACAAGCAAACATACAAACATACATACATACATACATACGTGGATATGATTGAGTGTATGTAAGTGTATCGTCTGCAGCAAACATACAAGAAGATAATAAAAAATGCAGCCATGGGCAACGTGCGATAAATAATTTAAAAAAAACAACAAAGAAATCGCGTATGCAAAGATTTTCTGCTATTTTTAGTAAAAAGGAAATCCTTAGCGGCAATTCGGCGTGGACAGCTGGCAGAAGTTGTGTAAGTATATGCATACACGCTTATATCTGTTTACATTTGGCAAGCACTGTACTAAATATTTTAATTCGAAAAAGGTTACAATGACTCAAATTGTATTTATTGAATTGAAATCAGCACTTTTTTCCTTCCTACAACTTATTAAATTACCTACTATTAAGTTATGCAACTTTAATTGCTCAGTTGTACATATAAATGTATTCATTCGTTCATTCATTTTGATCACTGACAACCTAATTAGGCATCATTCAAGCGTCAATTACACTAGTCTACAAGTAATACGACCTGTGGCATTTGACCATGATTGACATACAAAAGTTTTTCTGCTGAATCCATATGAAGTCAAGATATAAAAACGTTGAATAGTTTTTGGGATACATTTATCCAAAGTGGACAACTATTTCAAAAATAAATAAATTGCGATTAAGTCAGTGCACTAATTTGACTATATTGAACCGTAACCGCCAAGAATATCTAAATCCTTTAAGAGCATTTCTGCATCTAAAAGAAAATTGTTAAATAAATGTCGCACACTTTTTTTGGCAGTTAGGGCCCGATATATCCCAAAACTGCAAAACGGCATTCAGCTGAAAATTTTACATTAGCGCTCATATAAAAATATCGCTGGTTGGAAATTTGTTTTTCTTATGTCTGTAAACATGTGTTATGTATTATTATTGCATATTTTTCATCTACTGTTCGCTAAAGTTTGAACAAATTAGCAATAACACAAAACAAAACAGATCATTAGTTGCATATTCGCGCCAAATTTTGTTTCTCTGTTCATTACAAAGCTCAATTATAAAGCAAATTAGAGCGCCGATATAACTTTCAAAAATATTTCAAGTGAGTACAGCATTCGTAAATACCTGTTGAGAATAACTATTTGCTTTGGACGAGCTTCTCCTTCGCGTTTTGTGCTTTCACACAAGCGGCCAAAGTTTGTAATTGCCTACCGAGGGCAAAAGAAAATTTCCGCCTACCAGACTTCGAACCTGAGTTGATAGGAGTTATTGACTGAGTCAATAAAGTACAATTTATTTTCAGAAGGCGCCTAAGAAAACTTCGAATGACAGGTAATGCTCAAAACCCCCTTCTCCGACAGGTCTAATCCGCACTGTTGACCAAAATATGGCTGGGTAAACTTGGTTGCGTCTTGTAAGTAGGTCACACCGAAATTCTATAAAAATCCATAGCTGAATTGATGCATAAATCGAGAGGAAGTTTAACCGATAATGATCGAATGTGTTAGCTGGACCGTAAAATTTAAACAAGTTCTGCCAACATCCTCCAATCCAGTACTATCAACAGAATACAGAGCTTAAGAGGTCTATGATATCTTTAAATATTGAACCATTTCTCACCGTAATTTGAAACCGGTTTTCGGTTATTCATATTATTCATTCTGTTTTGATCCGTACGGTAGCTCATACAAAGCTCATGTAATTTTTGTCCACTCAATAACTCGTATGCTTTCTCGACCGACCGACTACCGCCTTCGACTAATTTTCTGTAGAGACAGCTATACATTTGTCTTACCTGACACGAGAAATGTGGATAAGTTATATTAGGGATTTTTAATAGAAAACGTCATGGTAGAATCTAAAATGACGTTTTGAGGCAACAATCCGAAAATATTGCGAAGATCCTAAATAGACGAACAAATAATCGACAAAGTAATGGGTTACATGAAAAGTTGTGGCGGATTTTTGGGTAAGGTTTAGAAAAAAACCAGTGATTGACCGACCAGAGCGAGCTGCATCTTTGACATCAAAATTTTCGCCACGGAATAAAGCAAACCACTATTGGGTCCGGGGTTGACTCATAGCATTCTCACCATACACTTCACAAACTTTTTGGCACGTTTTTGCAGCGTTTTCACTTTTTTTGTAGCAAAAAAGCATAACATAGCGTATTTTATCAGATATTTCAATCATTTTACAATCAATGTAATTTTTTTGTACGAACAACGAACTGACTTCGCTAAAAATTTCACCTTCAAACGCACGAAAGTTTGACGCAATTGGATTAGCGTTGCCACATGTATGAGCATCAACATCACATAGTGACGAAAAATCCGCAAAGACTTTTCATATGACCCAGTATGCATATGAAGATCAGAAGAGCCCGCTGGCTATACTCGGGTTCATTTTGTTCTACGTACAAAATAAAGGCATCCACGAAATTTAAAAACTAAAAACAAAGTTTGGTGTCGCTGCCAGGATTTGAAGGAATTTATTTATTTATTTTTTTTTAATCGCAAAAATTTTAATTTGACCAACTATAACTCAGCGAGTTTATGAATTTATATCAATACGTTTATCAAATTTCAAGTCCAAATTTTGTCCAATTTGAGATTTTTTTTTTTAATTCAAGTGTTTAAAACCCCTGTAGCGACCCCTAAAACTTTTTTAAAAATTTCGTGGATATGTTTATTTTTTTTTTACACAGAACAAAACTAAGATGTTGAGTTTTTAAGGACCACCATTATATTTAGCATCCCCCGTCGGAAAAATTTGGAAAAAATTAGGTCTTCAGGCGCCCTCACTTCTGATTTTTTTAACTTTTTTTACGATTTTTTACTCCTTTTTTATTTTTAATATATGGCTAGAGTTTCACGCCTTATTTGAGAAGGGGAAATTGCCGATACGTCTGCTGCGATTACTTCCTTTTTTAACTGCCGTTGCTTTGAAAACACACACATTATCGTCAGACTTCGAATGGCAAGACTATTGTAAGATCGTCTAATGCAGCTTTTAAAGAGAAGTCTTATGGAAAAAGTAATTATTGAAAAATATTTTTTTTTTTAGAAACGCTCCTTATTGAGCCGATTGAAAAGATTTTTTCGAATTGTTTTTGCTTTTGAGATTCTGTTCTTTAGCAATCAAGCAAAGCGCAAAAACTTAAGAATTCCAAAAATATTGCTGCAAGTTTTAAGCTAATTTTGTAACCTCTTCAGCATTATATTTTTTATTTTTATTACATACAAATAAAAATATGCATGTTGCCACTTACCGCACATTTATTGCAAAGGTAACACGCCTAAAAGAAAGGAAAACAAAAACTTAGTTAGCGCTTTTTATTTATCTTAACTGTAAAATGAAACACTTAATTTTATATCTATTACTTACAACACTTGACTGCATTTATTGTACTAACTTTTTTTATAAAAAATGGTTAATTGAGTTTTTTCTTAGCGAAATAAAAAATTGAACAAAAAAGAAAATAAAATATAATGTTACTATACAGAATGGTTTCAGCAGAACCAGTAAAAGCAGCTACAAAAACTACCTTAATATACATACATACATAGGTAGACTAAAAACCAACAATAACAAGAGGAACAACAAGTCAAGCGCAACAACAAAACCGGCATACCAAAATACCAAACCAAAAACATAACTTCGTTGTATAGAATAACAGCAGCAGCTGCTTGCTTCTGCTGCCGGTCCACGGCGGCTGTTGCTGTTGTTGTTGCTAACTTGATTTTAGTTTTCGTTGTTACCTTAATTCTTGTTGTTGCTGTTAGTTGCTGTGTGCTCCATTGCTCTTTGGCTGCTTGCTGTCCAGTCGATATTAAATGCCTACCTTTTCAATTCATTTCCTTTGTTGTTGTTGCGGCTGTCGTTGTTTCGGCTGCTGCTGCTGTGTCTTTGTTTGGGTAGTTAGTTGTTTTGTTCAGTTTAGTTGATGCAAGTTGGGGCAATAGCGTTTGTGGTCAATTATACAAAGAATTCATGCAACAGCTACAACAATAATACTAATGGCCAGACAGCATACTAAAATAAAAAAAAATGAGTGCAGCAAATAAAACACGAAAAACGAGATAGAAAAATATTGAAAGAATTTCAGCAGCGGCGATAAAGTGACCGAAAATGGGCGGCGAAACAACTACCTATAACAATAAACTATTTTAATGGACATGCCATGCATTTCCGTTTCATTACCAATCGTTCACTAGCGCAGCACAGAGTGAGACCAGGTGCTTTGAAAGTTTCCTCTACATAAAGCAATGATTACTCACTAATATTTGGAAGATAAAGAAATTTTTGAATAATGACAACATCAGAAATTTTTTTAGATCCCAAGAACTTATTTAAATTGAGAAGTAGGCAGAAATCCAGGTACCGAAAATAACCATTAAATAATAAGGTTTTTCTTTTTAGATCAATGCTAAATCGTTATTTATTTTTACTATTAAGAATGATCGTTAAATCTTGATTTAATTTTTTTCTTTTGCCAAATTTAATCACAACTTAGTGATTTTTTCGATTAAAAATAATCGTGTTCTTGGATTTTTTTTAAATCAAAATTAATGATGCTCAAGAATGATAGAGTTCTCTCCACCGTGATGCTGACTAATATTTCGGTAGTAATATTGATGAATATATCAACGATGATAGATAAAACTATCGATGAGCATATCGATATTGGTAGCGATAGATACGTATATCGATATCCATATAAAAAGTGTATCACTATCCATTTTGATATCGATAAATATTTCGATGACTACGTCGAAAATTGTAGCGATAGGCGTAGTAAACGAATGGATTAAATCTTTTGTCCACCACAGAGGCGAGTGGAATATAGAAAAATCATAGCACGGGTCGTGATATCAGTTGGTTTTTAATGCACGCTCTGGTTAGTCTAGATGAGAAGACGTGCGCTCTTGTCATGACTGCACTATGTGGCCAAACAGGTCTAACCCCCGCTTTTGTGACCGGGAGAAGGTTTTCTTCAAATCTATTCATACATGCATTTTCAGCTTCGAAAAAAAATCACCACCAAGTGGCCACCAGGCCAATATTCAGTTAGTGTTCTATTTCCAGAGTCCCAGCCTCGCTATACTCTGCACTTGTCCAGATTTGTCCCCCTTTGTTAGTATCTACTGTGTCCTTCTGCTCATCTTGAAAAAGTCGAAAAGTGATGTGTGCTTTCCTCGACATACAAAGAGAGATTCCATGATTCCATCTCCTCTATTGTGCTGCATAATGTTGAAT